GCGATTGATAATCTATCAGTATTTGTTTCCTAAGGAGAATCTTCTACGATAATAGGGTATATACCCAAACAATCTTCCCCCACCCAAATCTCTTCATCCCTTGATATTTTATCATCTCCTCCCTTTTTTTTTTTCCCCCCAGCTCCTTTTGTAAGTAGTTGTGGAGCTGTGTTATCTTGGGAAGGCCCCAAGTTCTCTTTTCCCCGTCTCCCCAGGCCTTCGTTGAAGAGCATTTTAGCGACACTTCCAGGTGCTGTTTCAATGAAGTGCAGAGACAAGCGTTTACTGTGTGCTCCTGGGCGTTTTGTATAAATCCAACACTGTCCTGTTTTCTCCTGGACATCGTCTCATCACGTTTCAGAGAGACTCTTCTGTGTCTGATGGATCCCTAGCTTCTCAGGAGTGACTCCTGATACGTTGGTTCTGAATTTCTGTCACATCCCCAGCTGCCCTCCAGTTTCTGACAAATCTAGTATTATTCTTTGACCCAGAACAGCCAAATCAGTGGAAATCCACCTGGTGATCAGCGGAGCCACTAAATAATGCAGCTAGAGGGCGCTCACATCCTCACAATTCTGAGGAATAAGGAGAGTTCAAAGACATTTCCCGTTAGTACTCAAACTTCAGAAGCTTACAGACTTGGGGGAAGGGAGAGCAATATACTTGTCACATAAGATAACCGATAAGAAATTGTAGTATATTCATTTACCAATAAAACCAACATATGATGAGTACAGCATGTCAGGTGCTGTTCTACCTAAGCCCTTAACTCTTCTCCCAGGACTCCTGAGACACATACAAAACAATCAAACCCTCCCTTTTCAGGTGAGGCACTAAGAGATTTTGTAATTTTCCCAAGGTCACAAGGGCAGAGGTGAAAATGAAACCCAGGCAGCTAGCTCCAAAGCCCACACTTACTCATTATGAACTGGCTAAAAAAGAAAGGCATTTGAGGAGGGACATCAAATTAACATTGGTTATCCCTGGGAGCAAGAAGTATTAGGAGGGAATTCCCTGGCAGTCCAGTGCTTCCACTACAGAGGGCATGGGTTCGACCCCTTGAACTAAGATAGGGGAACTAAAATCCTGCAAGCCGTGTGGCATGGCCAAAAATAAACAAAAAACAAAATTAGTATTAGGAGACCATATTATTTACTTTCTACACAAAGCTCTGCATTGTTGAAAATTATTTCCCATACATAAACTATTATGGTTACCTTTAAAATTCACTAACTACAGGGAACTCTACTCAGTACTCTGTAATGACCTATATGGGAAAAGAATCTTTAAGAGTGGATATAGGTGTATTTATAACTGATTCACTTTGCTGTACACCTGAAACTAATACAACATTGTAGATCAACTATACTCCAATAAAAATTTTAAAATCAAAAATAAAATAATAGTAAAATAAAATTCAATAACTGTTACAAGAATAATATAAGAAGAAATTGCTCAACTGTGGTCAAGGGCAGATTCAGGTTACGTGGGTCTTGAAGCTCATACATGGAGGAGAGACTCTTTAAGAAAAAGAATTCAAAACAGGAATACAAACTTAGGTATGAAAGTGGAATGTATTTTGATTGAAAAAATCATTATAAATTACAAATTTTTAGAAGGTGACAAATACTGTAAATATAATAAAACTGTGAAAAATTACATAGTATACTTCTGTTATACTTTTTCATATTTTTGGGGTTGTATACCCTGTATGATCATCTCTTCATGGACAATAATTCTGTAATATCATTTTCATGGAGGGAAGAGAAAGTGATTCAAGTGCATTATGAAATGCCATTATATTGGATTGAGCTACATAATTGTTTAATCAAATAACCCTTAAACTATGTGCAATAACTTATAGATGAATATGCATGGGAGTTTTGTCACAGGAGCACTTAGGTTGCTTTGCTGTGATTGTAGAGCTTTCGAATGTCATTTTCTCTTTTTTTTTTTCTGAAATTGCCAGGCTTCATCAGGACAAGGCATTGCAGATATGCAAAGATTGGTCCAATGGGGATCAGTTGAGATCCCCATTGGTTTTTATGTTGGGAGGCATAAAAATTCAATTTGGCATGCATAAAAATCCTACTTCATGGTTTACAGTATTGCTACCATTTGGTGCCCTGCTAACACAAGAATTCCGGTCAATTCTATTTTGCACTGATTCCCATTTTAAAAGCATGGTAGTAGGGTATGTTATAATCGTATACACTGCACTATTGAGTATTTTCCTGAAGGTAATTTCTGTTTTGAGTAGACATCAATGAGAATCAAATATTCCACTTATAATTTTCTACATCTGAGGATTCAAAGAACGTTCCTCAGACTAGCGTTTGTATCTGCGCATTTTGACTCTTCTTCTTCGTTTCCAGTGGTAGGCGCAGTGGGACACGCTGATATTGCAATAGGACCCGTGATGCCAGATGAGTATGTACCAAGGCTATCGGGAGTATTCCTGGAAGCCATTCTTACATGAGAATAGATAACACGGAAATAAGTGTGAACCACATGAATAGATCCATTGAACCCAAAACAAATAAATCTCCAACTCAGCTTCTCCTAGTTGGAGTCCCCAAAATGCTAAGGGCCTCTCCGTCAACACATAACTCCTGGGGGTAGAACTAAGGGAGGGGGAAGCTGAGTAGAAGAAGACAATATCCTTAGCCCACTGCAGTTAAAATATTGAATATCTTACATTTGCAATGTTATCAGAAGCATATGACCACGTGAACCCAAGCATTATTAGAAGTTCTAAAGCCTAAGCTTCTGTCACTTTACAATAACTCTGCCCTAACTGTGGTGAAGATGGTAATTGCAGCAAGAGCTGAGATCATGGGTAAATCAGTGTGAACTGAAGTTGTCAAGAAAATCCTCCTGTTCAAATATTACTCAGCCATAAAAAGAAATTAAATTGAGTTATTTATAGTGAGGTGGATGGACCTAGAGACTGTCATACAGAGTGAAGTAAGTCAGAAAGAGAAAAACAAATACCATATGCTAACATATATATATATATATATGGAATCTAAAAAAAAATGTTTATGAAGAACCTAGGGGCAGGACAGGAATAAAGATGCAGACGTAGAGAATGGACTTGAGGACACAGGGAAGGGGAAGGGTAAGCTGTGACAAAGTGAGAGAGTGGCATGGACATATATACACTACCAACTGTAAAATAGCTAGCTAGTGGGAAGCAGCTGCATAGCACAGGGAGATCAGCTCTGTGCTTTGTGACCACCTAGAGGGGTGGGATAGGGAGGGTGGGAGGGAGACGGAAGAGGGAGGGGATATGGGAACATATGTATATGTATAGCTGATTCACTTTGTTATAAAGCAGAAACTGACACACCATTGTAAAGCAATTATACTCCAATCAAGATGTTAATAAATAAAAGAAAATCCTCCTGTTCAAGGCAGGCACTGAGCTACACCTTGAACCACTGGTAGAATTCACTAGACAGAGGAGCAGGAAGGACGGAAGCTACAAGTTTCTGCATTCTGCCCAAAAGTAGACACACATATATGTGGATATAAAATGTGTTCTTGTGCCAATGAAAACATTTTTTTCGTCACTGGCTTAGAGCTACCTAGTAAGAGCCAATGGCAATACATTTCCACATCACTTAAGAATGAGACTTGAATTTTCTTCCCAGCCCCGCCTCATCCCAACCAGCAAATAATCATTCCCAATCCAGGACCAACCAGCGCTGCAGGCATTCGGCCCCTTGTGTCTACCATCCGCCTTTCCTCCAACACAGGGATCCCAGAGCGCCGGGTTTACGCTCCAGGCAAAGGGGAGGGGAGGAGAGAGGAACTGGCCAGAGACCGTGTTCTGCGTCGACACAGGAGGCGAAGCCTGCTGAATGCCTGTGCAGCCAGTGTGGGGAAGGAAGACCCAGGCCCAACTCTCATTCCCCTTTCTGTTCAATATTTTCTGTGCCATTCCATCTCTGGAGAATTCGCAGTGTGTCCTTTTCCCAAATACCACATCACTCTGGAACTCATCTGGGTTTGTTCCCAGGTCAGCCCCAGTGCCACGGCACTGGTGATGGTTCACTTGTGATAAAGCAGTCACCCTGCTGATCAACTAGTTCAGTGTGGAGCCTGAGTGGGTCTCTGAAGACTGGCACGTGGAAGGGAGAAAGTGAAGGAACAGTTATCAAGTGTCAGGGTAAATTCGTTTCAGGATACAGTTTAAAGTACGAATCTCAAGTGCTTTTTCCCTAATTTTAATCTTTGTATACAAGACCATTTACTGAATAATTCTTGCTTTCCCTTCGTGATGCTCCCATAATCCTTTATTTAATTATTATATATTTTTAGATCTAGGTCCAGTTCTCTAGCCAGTTTCACTGACCTACATCTTTATCGTGCTGAAATCACACTGCTTTAACCTGCGGGGCTAGATCCTTATTACCTAAATCCCACCTCCTTCCCCCTCACCCCTTTCCACCTCTCCTGTCCCACTTTACTGGGCAGGGGGTAGGGGGGCATTGGGTATATAAGAAAAAAAGATATAATCTCTATCCTCCCTTCGGGAGCTTGCATTCTATGTAGGAAAAGTATATTTATGCCCTTGGAATAAGGGTAGTACTCACAGTCAGTGCTCAAAATGGCTTGTTGAAATAATAAGTTCAAATACGATGGAAAAGTATCACCAACTAGCTTCTCTATAAACTACTCACTGCTCTATAAAAATGGTTCCAATTACCCCAACACACATACAAATCTCTACAGTTACATAATCTTGTTCTTGTTTTTCAGATTGACCTGATTCAAATTGTGTAAAGTAAAACTCACTGTGGTAACCTCACCCAAGTTACTTAGAAATGAAGAGCCAGTCATTTGAACCATTGCCTTTATTTTATTTTGGAGGGGGAAAAAAAAAAAAAGGTGGGGCAGGAATATGGTCAGAAAAACAGTTTATAGAAATTTGCAGGCATAGAGGAGGGAACAATTGGAACTTGGAGAATATTCTTCCATCAGCACTTTGCTGGTTTAGAAGCACAAGCATGTATTCTGTATTATGAGATCACTTATGAACTTACTATATTTGGCAGTTCCAGAGATGTACAAATTTGATTTAAGAAGACAAGTCTTCCCTCACCCTTTTGCAAATCAGGAGGTAAGATAGGCACACACAAAAATAGTTTATTCCAATCAAATTTTTCTGATTTTTAAAATTCTAAAATTAAGATGTTTCCCAGTTACCCAAGATTAATTCTGGACCTTGAGAATTTTTAACAAGAATACTCGGCTCTCCATTAGTTGTGATATAAACTGATCTGTCTCTGGCCCTAGCCCATCCATGCCACCTTATTTAGGGTGGAGCCTTCTTGGGGTCTGAGGAGCTGCATGCAGACAGCGGGTAGCTGAGGTGTCTCCAGAGCTTTCAGAGTCCTGGATAGCTCTCTAAAGCTGGGGTACGTGACTGCTACAAATAGTGCCTGCTCCCAACCAGTGTGTCTTGAACGTCGGGATGCATCAGAATCACCTACTGACTCAGGCAGTCCTGGAGTGGAGCCCACACAGGCAGACTTCTAACAGGGTTCCTAAGAGAGCGATGCCCCCAAGGCTGGGAAGCCCCAGCTAGCCTAGAGTTTCCACCAAAGCAGAGGTCCTCTTTATTCACCCTTGTGTCTGGGACTTGGCACAGTGACATGCATGTAGTAAACACTTAATAAAGATTTACCGAATTGATCATACCTGGTACTAAATTCCAACTGGATTAAAAATTTTTTAACATTTGTTTTACAGAAAAGAAATCCCTGAAATAGCTTCCAAATGCCATAAAACTGAAAAAAAAAAATCTGAAGTTGATTTGAAAGAAAATACGTGAAAAATGTTCACAGTGATCATTGATCGCTAAATATTTAGTTGGTGTAAGGAATCACTAAAAATAAGATTCTCCCATGATGGCTAAAGCAAAAACACTTCACTGTTTCACAAAAGCCAGAGGCAGCAGGGAAAAAAAGGGTTCTGACAATAGTCAGACTTTATGATACAGCATACTTAAAAAGAAAATCCACCTTGAAATTTAAGCACCTTTAGTTCTTTCTTGGCTTGTATCTTCCTTTTTCCCCCCTGGCTCTTTCTCCTTTTTGGCTTCTGTTCTCTCTGCCTGTCTCTCTCTGGCATCCTCTGCAGCTGTCACTCTCTCTCATCTTCTCGGGAGCCACTGATGAATGATTTGAGTGCTCTGAGTGGGTGGTGCGGCTCAGGCTAGGACTGTTGAAAGAGCAGATAGAACAAATCCAGGGAGACTTCCGAAGGATCTGGAACTGGAGTGTGCGTAGGCTTTAGCTTTGCACAGAGTAGCCGGGGAGACACCCTAGCGTAGTAATGTGTAAACATTTAAATGTCCTTAGGAAACTTGCTGTTTAAATAGGAGTTCTCTATTAGCTTCAACCAATTCAACAAAGGTTCATGGACATAGCTGTGATGGATAAGGACAGAGTCTGCTGGCAGACTATCTGGTTTCCAGTCCCAGCTCCAAAACTTACTGCTGGTGTGACCTTGGACAACTTATCCCTCCTCTGTGCCTCAGTTTCTTCATCTGGAAAATGGGGACAACAATAGAGTTGATGTGAAAATTTGACAATGGTCTGGGGGCCTACAAATGTTTTTGGCCATCACTGCTCTTCTTTTAAAAATAAATGAAAACAAGAGATTATAATTTAGTTGGGGGCAGCGGACAGGATAATATAAACAACTCATACTGATTTTTCTTTCCTATAAATCTGATTATTTTTGGTTTTATTTTTTAAGTAGGACATAGCTTCCATATATGGAAGAAATATTTACTGAGGCACTCTGCCAAGTGCTTTACCTAGCTGTGGTAAGTAATCCTCACACAACTCTGAGATAGATATCATCACCCCAATTTTGCAGATGAGGAAGCTAAGGCTGAGAAGGGTTAATTCACTTGCCCTAGATCCCACAGCCATCAGTAGTAAGCGGCTGAGCAAAGATCTGAGTTCAAGTCTCACTCCAATTCATAAGCCATTTTGCTATACCATGAATTACCAAACCATGGTTAATGGGAGTCTAAACCCACAGATAAAGCTTTGTTGACCTGCAGAATAAATCACTTCCCTGCCAGCCCCATACAACCCCACCCAGCTGACTCACCAAGAAACTGAAAAGGCAGCTTCACTAGAGAAGGCCACAAAAACATGAGAAATCTTGACTGTCAGGGGCCACATTGTCCTTCAAGCTTCCAGGCTAAGTGATCAGACTCTGGAGGGATTAGGTAATCTTTGGCAAAGGGATCCCGGTTGCTGGGATTCACAGGAACCTCTGGGATTCAGTGTTTATTGTGTACTTAGCAGCCTCCCTAAGATACCTTCTTGGAGTTCCTAGTTTCTAGCCAGTGATGAGAATGAATTTGAGGCCAATTCATCCACTTACCAAGTGATACAGCCTGAAGTTGTCTGCCAGGTAGACACCATCTCGATTTTTTCTCCCCACTAAGGTATTCAGCAATGGGCAAGAGTTTGAGGTCTTGTCCATCTTGGCTCACAAGGTCCCATTCCCCAGAAGCCTTCCAGAGAGCTCTGGGAAAGAGGGACTGTTCCATGACTTTCTGCAGCTCACTTGTAGCCAGATTTGGATAATGTCCAAGATTTTATAACCGATCTCCTCCTCTTCTTTTTTGGATGTCATCAACCAAGGGGTGTTTAGGAATGTGTTAATAATTCCCAGGAGAAATTGGCCAGGATTACCTACTCATGACTAATGAAGCTGTCATCCGCCATTCCTTCCCACTGTTTCATAATGCCGCCCAAAGAGTGCTTTATGAAGATGGATAGTATTATAACGCTGCACCCAAGAAACTGGCACTGTGTCAATGGAAACAGAGGCCAGTTTATTTTGCATGCCACTCTATTTTTCATTATACTTCACAATAACTTGTTATTAAATGAAAATGAATTTGCCATTAGGGACTAGAGACTATTTAATAACTGTTCAGCAATGTTTCATGAATTTTTTTTTTTTTTTGTAACTCATGCAGCCACCACATGAATAAGTGTCACGTTGGATTAGGTGAGGTTGGATTTTCTAGAACAATCTTAAATGTTTCGTGGAAATCGATCATTAAAACATGTGGCTTGAAGCTTGGATTGCAAGATTCTGACTTTGAATTGGCCATCTTAAAAACAGAAAGAGTGAGGTAGACTTGTCGTCTTAAGTACTCCCAGAAAATGACACAGAGTGAAAATAGGACGGGGCATTTATGCGCAAGCACAATGTTTTCCCCATAGAGGGCAAGGAGGCTTTCTGGAGAGCAGTCTCTCCAGCCACCCTCTCCAAATAGCATGCAGCGGTCAGGATAGTCAATGTTATTCTGCAATAACAAATAAACTTCCAAAATTTATTTATCAGTGGCTCAAAATGACGAAAGTCTGTTTCTTGCTTGTACTGTGTGTCCATTACAGGGCTATATGTCTGTCATGCATTATCTTGGAAGATAGATGATGAAGCACCCACTCTCTGAAATGGTGGCAGAGATTAAAAAAAGAGCCCTGGAGGGTCTCAACAGCAATTAAAGCTTGACCTTGGGACTTCCCTGATGGTCCAATGGGTCCACCTTCCCAATGCAGGGGGCCTGGGGTCGATCCCTCGCTGGGGAACTGGATCCCGCGTGCATGGTGCAACTAAAGATCCCGTGTGCCGCAACTAAGACCCGGAACAGCCAAAATAAATAAAATAAATAAATATATTTTTTGAAAAGCTTGACCTTGAATTTATCACACGGTACCAACTAACCCCAAGGGGTGAGAGGGAACCAAGAATTACAACCTTACTAGGTGCTCAAAAGGCAGAAATAGCATATCTGGTGATCAGCCCTCATAAGTACTAACGTGAGATCAAAATGAGGATTCATTCAATCACTCGAAGGCCTGAATAGAACAGAAAGTAAGAGAGGATTCTTCCTGCCTAACAGTCTTTGAACCAGGGCATTGGCTCTTTCCCTGTCTTCAGACTCAAACCGAAATACTACCTTTTCCCAGGTCTCCCGTTTATGGTGAAAATGTGCACACTCTTTGACCCAGCAAGTGCACTTGTGGGCTGGGAAGTGCCTGGTGCCAAGCACAGTGTCCGGTGGACCGAATGAAAGATGGCATTGAGGAATGTGAGATTTAAAGCTACAATACCCCAGATCCATCACTCACACGTTGACCTTGGGCAAGTGACTCCATCCTCAGTGTCTTCATCTGTAAAATGAATGATAATACCTCACAGCCTTGTCAGGAAGATGAAATAGAATAGTTCATGTACAGCACAGTGTCTGGCACATGGTAAGCATTGAATGAATGGTGGTAATTACTTGTTATTACACCTCAAAGCTGGCTGGGTTCCTCTTTCTACAGAGTGGACAGATGGATTACTTAAGATTACTTAGGCCAGAGACTGGAAAGGAAGGTTCAGTCATTTGGATCATGACATCTACATCAATGACTCCTTGTACTTTTTGCTGACAGCAAATAGCCCTTACGTACCTCAAAAAATTTTGGGACCCCTCCAAACATAATAATTATATATTTCTAAATCCTTGATTGAAAAAACACATGAAACCAAAAAGCCTCTCTACATTCAGTCACATTTTAAATGTATTTTGTTGGCCTCAATGCCATCCACCAGCATCTTGAAAATAGTAGGGCATTGGATGTGTGGGACAGAGCCTTTGTTCAATCTAGAGACAATGTTAGGTGGACACCAGGGTTCAAGACCCACAGCCTTAACTCCAGGCCCATCTGGAGGTCTGGGGCCCAGTGGGATGAAAATACTGATTTGGCTAAGTAACCGTGCAGGTCAGAGAAAACACCCACCTGTTCCTCCCTGGGAGCTTGAAGTCGTTGTACATGCTTCTCACGTTCCAGCGATGCAGCCCGCCCAGGCCGATGTGCCGCCCCCGCAGACTTCCCTGGGCATCTCCCTCCCCTTGAAGGGCTGCCCCTCCATGAATGACAGTCCTCTCCTCAGCTCTTGTCTATACTCCAGTATGAATACATGACTAGTAATTGTCATGTCATTCTCAAAACTCTATTTCTGGATGCATTTGCCAGAAAGATAAAAAAACCTAACGAGACCACACAGAAGCAGAAGCTGGAGAACTAGACATCTGGTCATCCCCGCAGGAAGGGACTGTTATGAGATGGAATGGCCAGAGCTGTGATTCTGGTTGTGTCCCAAGGCCCAGGGAGACCCATCTGGAGAAAGACTGTGGTCCTCTATGCCTATGAGACTTTAATTCCATCATCTCCTGGGGACAATCCCCATGGGTAGGAAGGACTCACTAGAGAAAGGAAGACAAAGCCAGCAGCAAGTTCACAGTCCCACATGTGAGCTGTTTCCTTCTTCTAGAAGCTAAGGCAAAATTGGCTTTCCAGTAGCTCTAAAAGAAGTCACTTCTAGAATCTGATGTCTGTGAAGGGAGGCCGAGAAGTTGATTGTCCCACGTCCCTGATATGCAATCATGCCAATCACGAAGACCACCAATGCTCCAAACATTTAAGAGGTGTGGAGCTCAGAGTGATCGATTACGGAGATCCTCATATGTATAGCACACATGAAAACGAGCAGGACAAAACAACTCTTCTCGGCCACCACTCATTCATTCACTCATTCATTCAGCCAACAAATATTTATCAGACCCCTACAGTGTATCACACACTGTAGGCAAAGTGCTTTACTTTTGAACAAGTAAAACAGGCAAGACCTGTCGTCATGGAGCTGATTGTCTACTAGATTATTAGTCAAATAATCACACAAACAAACGCAAAATCACAAAAGTGACAAATGACACAAAAGAGAGGTACATGGTGCTCGAGAGAGCCATGATTCAGGGTGTCAGCTAATGAGGGAGGACAGGGAAGGCTTCCTGGGGAAAAAATGCACGAGTGAAGAGGAAAGGAAAGAGGTTTCCAGGCAGGAAACAGCCTGAGCAAAGGCCCAGGGGTGGGAAGAGGTCTCATGAGGAGATTTTTGACCTTCTCTACCCCGAAATCAGATAAATAGGCAATAGTATTTTCCTTTTTGCTCTTTCATGGTTTCATGTTTTACTTCTTTTAACCTCTCTAGAAAAAATTCTGATGCATGATGGTGAGAACATCACTAAGAACTTCTGTTGGTTCCCTCACTGATTTGAAATACCTCCTCCCCTTGGGTCTGCTTCTAGCTTTCTTTTCAGTGTCATTGGTTTATTTACAGGCAAAATGATACTCTTTTTATTATTGAGAATTCTTGCAGTGCAGACTCCACATACCCCTCAGTCTTCTTTTTTGGAAAAAAAAAATATAAAAACAGCAAATTGCAGAGAATAATATATACCACCTACCACAGATTATTAACAGATATTAACATTGTAACATAGCTGCTTCAGGCGTGTGTCTTAGGAAAAGGTAGAAAATGTAACAGATTGATTCCAAGTCCCTGACCCACTCCCCTTTCTCCCTGCTTAGAAGTAACCACAAGCATGAATTGTACATGGAACCTTCCAGTCCATGTTTTAAACCTTTAACTTCATATACGTCTACCCATAAGTAAAATGCCATATTGTTTCATGGGTTTTCACTTATTTATTCTTCCAAGTGAATTTTAGAACCATCTTGTCACAATGCCTGTAGACTCCTTTTATAAAATTTTTATTGGAGATGCATTAAAGGGATTTATTACTTTGGAGAGAATTGACATCTTTACATTATTAGTTTTTCCCTCTAGGGACAAAGTATATATTTCATTTATTCAAGCCTCTGTTATATCTGTTTGTAAAATATTGTTATTTCCTTCTTGTAGGTTTGCATATTTCTTCTTGTTTCCAGGTAATGACTTGTGTTCATGTTGAGAATAGGATTTTATTTTTGTATTATAATTGCTAATTCATTCTTACTGGTATAAAAGAAAGCAGTTTATTTGAAAAATACTTATTTTGTAACTGGCCATATCACTGGATTCTTATATTGAATACTGTAGTTTTTCCAAATGATTCTTTTGTGTTTTCTTTGTAGATAATTATATAGTATATATAATGCTAGAGATTTGTAAATAACGAAAATTTTGTCTGTTTCCTGCTGACAGCTATACTCCATCTTATTTTTTCTTCTCTCAATGAATTAGCTGGGACTTGTAGAAAAATGTTAAATTATGATGGTGATAGGAGGAATCCTCATCTCATTCATGATCTTGAGAGGATTACCTCTAATACTGCACTTTTTTACAGAGTGTGGACTGTTATTTGAGACAGCAATTATCATGCTTTTTCTTTTACAATAATGAGAGGTTTCTTGTTTGTTTGTTTTGTTTCGTTTTCCCACTCTGTGTATATTTACAAAGCAGAGTGGTTTTAAAAAAATGAAACTCACTACATTTTTGGTAACGTTTTGCAAATTGGAAGGTTCAACCGTCATCGGCATGCATTTTGGTTATTTGTATTGGGAAGAGCATTAGACTGGTTCCAGTTCAGGCTTTGCAATTAGTTTATGGTTTCATTTTGGGCAGGTCCTCTTACTTCTCTGAGCCTCAGTTTCTTCCCTGTAAAATGGGGAGAGATAAAATTATTTCTAATCAACTTGTTAATAGTTTAAGCCCTATTTTAATAATATCTCTTTTTTTGTTTGTTTTAGTCAAACAATTTTACAAAGTCATCCATACCCCATAATTTGACAGGGCTGAACAAGATTAAAAATTTGGGCTGAATACACAGAAAACTGAAAATTCAAGAGATCAGACTGTAAACCTGCTAAGGTTTTGAAACTAATAACTACTACTTACGGAGTATTTACTATGCCCCAGGAATAGTGTTTTACTTGTAATATAGGCTTATTCATTGCTTATAACAACCCTATGAAGTAGGTAAAATCATTATTCCCATTCTACAGATGAGGAAACTGAGGCATAGTGTGGCGGGAACACCACAGATTAGCTCACTCAACATCCATTCCAGTTTCCTTCTGATGTACCTTCCTTCCTGTATTACATAGTCTGGAAAGCTAAAGTCCACGTTTCCCAGATTCCATTGCAAATAAGATTCTGGATATGATTTAGCTTCCATCAATCAGCTGCATAGGCTTAAGACTTGATTTTGAAACACAGTTAAGCAGGAAAAGAGGCAGCACGCAAGGCTATGTTTTGCAGATCATTGTAGGTATATGAGGCTTTGGTGCCTACAGTTCTGGCAGTGGCTTCCTGATCCCCAGATCACAGTCAAGATAGGGGGTGCTGGACCCAGTGGCTGGGATAGCAACTTCCTGAATCTCCCCACTGGGGCAGAGAAGTTAGTTCCCTCCACAGGCCAGTTCTACAGCACCCTCCTAGAAGCTGTTCCCAGAGGCCAGTCTGTGGCCACTCCTCCAGCCCTTCCAGCAATGTTGTTTTTTTTTTAATTGGGGTATAGTTGTTTTACGATGTTGTGTTAGTTTCTACTGTACAGAGAAGAGGAGCTCTCTGTGCTATACAGCAGGTTCTTATTAGTTATCTATTTTATACGTATTAGTGTGTATATGTCAATCCCCTTCCAGAAATGTTGTAGGCACCTAGTTCCCTCATTAAATCCCTTTCTGCTTAAAGCAACTAAAGCGGTCTCTATTATCTGCACTTAAACTCGAATCATTATGAGTGGTGTAATCTTTCTTTTCTCAGGTGCCCCCTTCAGCTAAACAGGAGAAGCCACATAGCATAAGGGACCGGGCATTGAATTTAGATCAGGTGACCTGGCTTCTAGTTCCACCCCTTTTATTTAATAGCTACATGACTCTGAGCAAGTTCCTTTATACTTCTGTGTCTCCGTTTTCTTATCTTTGACATGAGAGAATACAGTGTCACTTCTGGCTCTAACATCCTGTGATTATCATTGACCCAGAAGAACATTAAACACTCATGATGCAGACTGCGGCTCAGCAGTTCACAGTAAGCCAATTACAGACCTGAAACTAGCAAGTCCCTTCCCCCAGGCTCGGATCTTCCTTGGTTTAACTCACTTGGCAGAATGCTCCGTGCTGGGCCTGGGATGCAGAGCCATCCACCGAGAGGGACTTGAACCACGGAGACAGGGAGGGTGTAACACCAGCAGGATGTAGCTGCATTAGGAAGCTGCTGAGCTGGCAAGCTGGGAGTTACAAAGCCTGGGGCTACTAGAGATCAGGCCAAGCAAAAGGTCAGGAAACTGGAAAATCAGGACAGGACCACGGAGAATTCTGAGGGCAGAGGTCAGTCGCAAGGCAGGGGCGGAAGCCAGGAAGTCTAGCCTGAGGCCAAGGAGTCCACGGTGCATAAAACTGTGGTCCAAGTGAGGAGACAAAGATTTCAGAGTCCAGGTTGAAAGGTAGGATGAGAGTCCTCATCTGCCCTCCACCTGCCTGTTCAAATTCAGCTAACTCAAAGCCTTGCACAGTGTGGAAGCTCAGAAATAGTTGTTGCATCAGATTGACTTAAACTTGGGTCTTGGAACAGATGTTTCCAGCCCCAGTGATAAGCAGGAAGTGTTTTCATAAGTGAGCAAATCAGCTGCATTTGGGGAGAATGGCTCTGGCTGACTGAGGACAAAGTACTGAAGTCAATTGAATTCTGGCAAATTGTCTGGGGGGGTTGGGGGAGTGTGGGAAGGGAGCTGGACAGGGTGGCATTTGAGCCATAGAAAAGTGGACTTCCAGTGTCCCACCATACTTCAGGGAGAATGAAGACACACTAACATTAGAGTTTGCCTTAAGAGTTTGCTCTCTGTATGTTTATAATTCTTCTCCATCCCCTCTAGCCCGTATCTACTCTCTAAATACTACCCTTTCTAAATCTGCTCTCAGATAGGTCCTTTCCAGCAAAGAAGCTGATAAACAAATCCGTAAGATACAAATGACTCAACTA